CCAGGTTCCTTCTGCACCTAACCAGTGGAACACCCTTTTTCCCTCAGCCCTGGGGGGGTGAGACCGCCCTGGTGGGGAAGAGACCCCCCATAACGCATATGGGATCAAACAGGAGAACCAAACCCACACTTTTCTACCCCAGAAGTAGTAATAAAACGCGCAGGCAGTGGCGTGGATTTGGGGAGTCCCTCCCACCCCGTCTCTTTGCTTTCGGGGCTCGGAATTTCAAGAACGGCAAAGTTTGGGTGCCGTGGAGATGCCTGGAGATTGTGATGCTCGTCGGTGCCTGGATCTGGTGTGGCAGCGGCACCAATAACCCCCCCCGGGGGCCTGATTCTGCCCGGTGCTGGGGAGGGTGAGGAGGGTGTCGGCAAGCCCCCAGATCACCGTCTTTTCCCTCTTTTTGCCTCTGGAGACCCCAAACCCAAGTGGCTTAGCCCCAACCAAGGTAAAAAAGCCGGGGGGACAGCACCAGGCATGTGCTCAGGCCCCCCAGAAACCACCGGAGCCGGTAAAATCGGAGGCGGCGGAGTGACCACCCCAGCAGATCGAGGGGGATTTTCCATCCCCAGCCGCCCGGCTCAGCCTGCACCAGCGGCTCGGGGCGCGGTGTCCAAAGGTCACCGCCGGCACACGGAGCTGCTGACCCCATCAAGATTCCCCAAACCAGGAATATATTTTCATCCCTTGCAAACGATGTTTGGTTTTTGCTTGGTTTTGGTTGGTTTTTTTTTTACACCTCGGGAGCAGTTTTTGGTGGCGTTGTGGCACCGGGACGGCGATGAGTTGGCCCGGGCTCAGCCGGGAGCGGGTAAAGGGGGGAGGTGAGGGGAGGGGGTGGCTTTTGTTTTGCTCTGACGTGCTGTTTTCTTTCAGATGAAGGATCTCACCAGCTTGTCTGGCTTTGGGACCACGGCAAAGGCAGGGTGCAAAGCCCACTAGTAGGACATGACCCTTAAACTCTTTCTCTAAAGCTTAGCCATATAGGTATATAAGATCAATAGAGCTTAAAACCGGGGTTGGCTTTTAGTCTAAGCTTGGGTTTGGTTTTATTTTTTTGTTGTTGTTGTTTTTGTGCTTCTTTTATTGGTTTATTTGGTTTTATTTTTGCCTCCAGTGGGTAGTTAAGACGCAGGGCCCAAAAAAAAACCCAAAAAAACCCCAACAAACTTCGCCACTTGCTAAAAAGGCTTTTGGGGGCTTCGGTTTGAGGAGGGGAACAGCCAGCAAGGCTCCTGCTGTTGGCAGCATGCCCCAAAATCTCCAGCCCCTTCTCAGCGCTGGAGGAGGCGAGGGGAGCTGCGGGGCTTTGTCCCCCCCTCCCCAGCACCGACCTGCTACCTCGGGGAGGGTTTAAGTAACTCCCCGGTTGGAAAGTGGCCGTCGGTCCTGCACTTCACCGGCCACCTTGGCACGTTGCAGGTGTTTTCCAGTCCACAAAGAAGCTGTTCCTGAGTGAGCGAGTGGGCCAGGGCCGGACGCTGGAGTTCATTCGGAAAAACGCTGCCAACGGGCTCTCCATGGCCAATCTGGTGGCAGGGCTCTCCTCCATCCTCTGCAGCATCAACAGGTGGGGAAAAAGGAGAAAATTGGGTGAAATCAGGGTGGGTTGTCAAGGGGGGTCACACCATTTTTGCCCTCTCCACCCCACCCCAGGCAATACCACCACTCATGCTGGCTGCTGCTGGTGGGATTTCTGCTCGATTTGGCTGACGGAGCCGTTGCCCGACAGCTCAACGCCTGCTCGGCACTGGGTGAGTCCATCCTGCCACTCCGGCAACCCACCGCCCGGCTCTCCCTCCTTCCCCAACCCATCTGGCAGCTGCTCGCTCACTGCCCGCAGGTGCCAAACTGGATGATTTTGCCGATTTTACCACCTTCGGGCTGGCCACAGCTCTGCTGCTGCAGCCACAGGGAGTCCTGGATGGGCTACTGGCCATCGCCTACGTGATGGCTGTATTCGCTCGCCTCTGCTTCTTCTCCAGCGGTAAGCCAAGTTTTCAGGAGGCGCATCGGGGTGGGGTTTTTTGGGTGATTTCCCCCTCCCCGGCTGAATATCTGGCACCCAGCAGGGATCCCCTTCACCTACCGGGGGCTGCCCTGTCCCTACGCCTCCTCGCTGCTGGCGGGCACCTTCCTGCTCACGGGAGGTAACGTCACCCTGCTGCGTGTCGCCGCCATCGTCATGATCCTCTTCATGGTCGATCGGGGTTTCTACCCCCATGACAAGGTGCTGGAGTCCCAGCTCTGGAAGAAATTGGTTTACGCCGGAGGTAAAGATGGGGACACAATCAAGGCGGGGGGGTAATTAAACCCATCGAGCTGGCGGCAGAGGAGGAAGGAGCAGATCCCAAAGGCTTTTCCCAATCCGTAGGGGTGGTGGCCGTCCTCTTCTCACCGATGGCGGTGGCTTCCGTCTATTGCCTCGCCTGGTCGACATCCTACATCATCTTCCCCTTCGCTGTCTGGAGCTGCAAAGCCTAAACCCATCTTTGCCTAATGCCTAGTAAAGCCTTCCTCCTCCTCCTCCTCGCTCTCGGGTGCTGCCTCCTCCACTGGGATCTCCCTTTGCTCTTCTCACCAAATCCAACCTGCGGCGGGAGCCTGTTTAGAAAAGAAAAGGGAAGTAATTGAGCAGTAGGAAAGGCTCCGCTCCAGGGGAGCCCCAAAATTCCCTTCCCACACCCTGTCCCTCGTAGGGGTGGGGCGTGAGCAAATCTCCATCCCCTGTTACAAGAACAGCCCCGTTCCAGAGACCCCCCAAACCCTTCCCTGCGCGGAGGAACGTGAAATTTAGGGATTTCTCCCGCTGTACAGTGTTAATTTATTACAAGGGGGAGGTTTACACCCCCAAAAACGAGGACGCCCCCTCCCTGGGGGAAGGAAGCCGCCGATCAAATCTCCAGAGGGGTTTTGAAACCTGACGCACCAGCATTGTTTTGGTATTTATTATTTTACCCATCGCTGTAGGGAAATAATCTCTCTAACATGTTTTATTTTCCCCCCCTCTCGCTGTTTGCTCCCTGGGGCATGGGGCGGGGGGGGGAAGGCAGAAGGGGAAAGCGGGATTTGAAACTGGTGATTTGGACTCTCTGGAAAGCCAGAGGATGCCGGACAGCAGCGGCTGGAAAGAGGAGGGCGTGTGGGTGGAGGAAGGAAGCGAAGGTCAAACCTTGCGCCGAGTGGCGGACAGAAACACTCGGGGTCCCCGGGGTGGTTCCTGCGGCGCAAGCAGCTGCAAGAGCTGGACGCAGCCCCCGCCATTTTCCCCAACTTGTGCAGCCGAATCCAGGCACTGGGAGGGCAGGACCCTGTCCCTTGGCAGGGCCGAGGTCTGGCTCGGTGTGAGGAGGGCCGGAGCTGGTGACCAGCAGCCACAGCTGCTCTGGCACCCGGCCCCAATCCGGCCACCCCCACGCCATTCCCACTCAGCGCTGGCCTGGAGCTGCCGGCGCCGTTGAGGGACCAGGAGCCGGAGAAACGTGGAACCACCACAGATTTTATTTAAAAAAAAAGTGGTTATTCGATAATAAATAACAAAAGGGTTACAAAAGGAGATGGGCGGCAGATGGCGAGGGGGGCTGGGGTTGTCTGGGGGTGCTGTGTGTGCTGCCTCACTCGCCGGAGGCCTGCATCTGCTTGCAGAAGGAGTCAAACTGCTGCTGCTCCAGCTCTGTCATCACTCGGTTGAGGGCGTAGATCTGCGAGGGGCGGGGGTTGGGACAGAGAGAGGCGATGGGGGCGGGTTCGGCCCCAGCCTTACCGTCGTCCTTCCTCCCCCCTCAAGCCCTGGGGTCGCTCACCTCCGCCCTCTGCCTCTGCTTCAGCTCCTGCTGGGCTGATTTCTGCTTGGCCTTCTCCAGGCGAGCCGCCGGCTCCCGGGGCTTCGGCCTCTCCTTCCGCCCCCCCGCGCTCGGTTCCATGGCTGGGGGGGGCGTGGTGGTGTCACCCCAGGGCCACCCCCTCTTCTGCCAGCCCCACTGCCCCTCCTGACTGCCCCCAGCCCCAAGGACAGCCCCCCATATCTAGCCCTGGACCCACAGCTCCCTTGGGCCTGGAGCTCTAGCCCTGCCCCACGGCCCCCCCAGACCCCATCGCCCCCC